TATATATATATTAGCATTTATTAAATAAATAATCTGACCTTGTTTTTCAGTTTGAGTTTCAGTCCGAAGTCATACAGTTAGAAAAGTGAGTGGCAAAAAAGAAAAGAAATGCAGATAGGGAGGCCATTCAGACACACATTTGTATTTTTTTTTTATTTGAGAAGATTTTGATTGAGTGATGAGTTTGCACTCTGACGAGTAGCACAGATGCAACAACAGAAGAGACTCTGTCAGCTGGAGGAGTGGCCGCTGAAAACAATAAAAACAGCACGTGATAGATCAGTCAAAAGGTTAACGGTAACTCACAGACAAAAACGTCTTGTTTTTAAAAAGTGCATTCACAAACATGACAAATACTCTCAACTCATGATGTCTATTTTATGTGATACAAAATATGCATACCTGTTTTAGATTTGTCTGAATTTCTATACATAGATATTTTTTTTCAAAAGTTTCACCTCTTTCTTCGTTTTTTCTTTTTACAAAGGTTAAAAGCTGGGTTGTGGTCATAGCAGCTTTGGATATCTTTTGCTTTTTATCATATAAGAAGATACACATGATGTCAACAGATATCCAAATAAAACCTACAGTTTTTCTCTGTTGTTCAAATAAAATGACATAGTGTCTTTATCAACAGCAACTTTTTTCAGTAAAGCCTGCAATTTAAAAACATGAATAAAATGCTTGGGCTGTTATATATATATATATTTCCTATACCCGCTTTTTTGTTATTATCATAAATACTAAAGACACGGGACAACAGTATAAGACAATGCTGAGAGACTAAATGGAAAGATTAAAATAGTTTAAACGTTGGTTTTTTTTTCAAGTTTCCTAGTTCATGAAAAAAATATATATCAGGCGAGCACAAAAACACTAAACTTCGTTCTTTTCTTCAGTCTGTCAACATATCCTCGTATTTAAAAGAGCAACCACAAACTAGGTTGTAGGACAAATGTTCGACTGTCTTTAAGCAAAAATGTTCTCATGTGTATTAGTCCTGTCCACATGAGATGTTTGTCCATTATCACATGGGCAGGATCCTGGTTCCTCAAAGGAATTCAGAAAAGCGGTCAAATGTACAGATAAAAACAAATAAGTACCATGCATTATCTTGCAAGACGACATATTCTCAAACGAGAGACAAGTTTTCTTTGTGTAGACGAAATATCAAGTGAGACGGGAAAGGTGAAGGGCAAAGGCCCCTATTCAGTACTAAATACTATACTTCCAAAATAAAACAAAAATTATTCAATCTGTACACAGTTTAGTATGCATGAGTTTAAACTGGATCAGCAGTTTCTCTCCTTAATAATTTTCTGAACTCTTAGTTTTTGCCAAACTGCTACTTTGGAATAATACAGAAAAATGTTTTAATTTATCCCAATTTCTTTGTTCTCTTCCAAGTATCTGGAAAACGGTCGGCTGACTGAAACCTCCAGACCAGCCTTCTCTATACCCGTCATGGGAGGGCTGCTGCCAGTGTGTACACGATCCATCCCCCCAGGCATAGCTCCCAAAGAGGTGATTCCTGCTCCGCCAAGGCTGACGGGCAGCTGGGTGATGCCTCCATTCTGAATCACAGAAATCTCATTGTTCTTCATAGCCAGGCCATTGGTGATGACAGCAGCGTACTGGTTCCAGAAGCCTGGGTCGACATTCATGGCCCGGGCTGCCAGGTCCTTTTGAAACATCTCACTGAACTTCATGGCATCGCCACCTAACAGAGCCATAGGGTTCTCCACCGACAGGCGCCGACCTCTACGAGCTGGAGCATTGTTCCACATGTGTGTTCCCATATGAACCTAAAAGCAGAAAAAAAGAAAAAAGTTTTAACTTGTGAGCCTTATAAAACAGTATTTACTTTGTATATTTAACTTTTTAAGAAAAACATTTTAAGTTAAAATATAAGAAAAAATAGATAAACATGCAAACTTATTTTTCTTGGAAATTTTAGTAGTAAATTAGAAAAAATGCAAATCTCACGAGTAGATGTCAACTTCAGCAGACATATACATTTTAACATTTTACCAGAAATTAAACTTGAAATTGACTCTTTGAATGAAACTATTTTAATTGTACATTGGTGATAAATCTAAGTTACTTCTTTCTGTAAAAAACAGCTTACACTTCACCAGATAGTTTTTTTCAGATTGCAAGAATTTCCTCGTTAACATATCAAAATATGGAGAAATTTTTTTAACTTTACTAAAATTTCTACAAAATAAATTGCAGCATGATTTATTCTTTGATGAAGATACAAATTTCCATTTTAGTTCATAAATAAAGTATAACAATGACAGGATTAGGATAAAGCAGTTCTGACATAGGACAAAAATTATAATAATGGCTGTACTGTTTTGGTTTCAAGGCCACAAAGTGATAGTAGGCATGCACAAAATAGGTTGCTACAGCATTGTCTCTCAGAAACTCCACGTCAAACCCACATAGATACACTAAAATTATCAAAACTCGTTTTTTTCCCCACCAAAAACTCAGTTTGTGTGTGGACTGGGAGTGCAAATGCCAAATGTAAATCTGTTTTTAAATTATCAAGAGCAGTGCAACAAGGTTTTAAGTTTTCTAGGAATATTTACCCAAAGTTAACTGGTTACTCTTTAAAAAGTATGTATTATTTTGGTTAATCTGTGTTGTTATTTTTTATTATTATATTAGATTTTATACCTTCAGGTTGCCCTTTGTGGTAAAAGCCCTTCCACAAATAGAGCAGGCAAATGGTTTCTCTCCTGTGTGTGTCCGCTCATGGATTTGCAGAGCGCTGGCCGAAGAAAAGTTCTTCCCGCATGAGTGGCAGTTGTGTTGCTTAGGAGTACGACGTGGAGGTGGGGGGGCCAACATGGGGTTGATGCCAGGGCTCGCTGTGGTTGGGGTTGCTGCAGCAGGAACCGGAATGCCCACTGGCAAGTGTGAGTTGTCGTTCAAAGACTTGCCATGTCCATTCATTTCCATTTTGATCATGTTTGATGCAGTGCTGGCTAAATTAGGAGTTCCAAGGCCTGAAAAAAAGAAAGAAATAAAAAAGAAGATCTTTATTTCTAATGTTGTCATAATAAACACACCTTTTTGTCAGTGTAAGAGCTGCATAGCTGCTACACTTAATCATTTTATTATTTCTTTGTTTTTTTTACTGTTCACTGTTTATAATAATTAGTTTTTGTTGGCTATTATATAAATATTGATTATACTGACTAAGATTTGTACCAATACAGAGCTGATTATATTTCTACTTACCGCGATCTCTGTTTAGAAACAACATGTTGAAGTGGCTCTCCTCCTTGATGAAATGCCTGCTAGGTTGAGTGGCAGTCAGATCAAGGGCCCCAGTGCCTTCATTTCCAGAAAGAGGTGATGGGGTCTCTGATTTTTCTGACTTCACTGTTGTCATGCCAGCTGAATTGTTCTCCTGGCCCTCATCTGCCATCATGGCACTGCTGTTATTATTACTGAATGTAGCTGGGGACTTAGACCTCTGGCTCCCAGAATGGCTGTGAGCTGGGGACAAATGCTGCAATGAGCCAGAAGACTCAGACAAAGCCGGACTCCCCAAGCTTTGACTTTCAGCATCCCCCACTGCATTCAAGGAATCTGTGGTGAAGCAGTCAGTATCTCCTGCAAAGCTGCTGCCATTCTGTGAAGGTTTCAAGCCAAATGAGTGGGTCATGTTGGCAGTAGAGTCAATCATCTTCATTTGGTTTTCCATCGCAGCAATGCTGGAGATGATTGAAGTTGGTGGGGAGCTCCCAGGTGAATAAGGTTTAGATGGGTCGACTTCTCCATCTTTAAAGTCTGCTTCATCATCCATAGCCTGCTCCATTTCATCCAGAAGGTCATCATCATAGTTGCTCATTGCATCTAAGCTCTTTTCATCAAAGGAGACATCAGTTTCCATATCCTGCAGACTTTCTGGGACAGGGGTGTTGGGGATCTGCCCTCCCATGTGCATACGAATATGCTGTTGTAGCACAACAGCATTGGTAAACTTCTTCTGACATATAGGGCAGGAGTGCTGGACTCGAAGAGGAGGTTTGGACCTGTGGACACCAAAGTGTGTTTTTAGATTTCCCTTAGTGGTGAATGCTCGTCCACATATCTTGCATTTGAACGGCCTCTCACCAGTGTGGATACGGTAGTGCATCTTCAGAGCACTCTGGCAGCTTAGAACACGATGACAGATAACACACTGGTTCGGATCAGTCATCTTCTTATCAATGTTCTCAACAAGCTGCTGCAACTTTGATGTCTCTGAGGTTTGCATAGAGTCTAGGAGGCCTCCAAAGGGAAACTTGGCCTTAAACTGGTCAGACAGCATTGGAAGGACTGGATGAGAGATGGAATTAGAAACAGAATTTGGGCTACTGATAGGCTCAGTGACTTGGCCACTGCCTGCGGGTGTTGTGGAGGTGACAGTGGTGGAAAGAAGCACTTGAGTCACTGTAGTTGTGGTGATTGTGTTTTCACCAGGCCTACTAGAACAACTTGGGGACAAGAGAATGCCTTCAGGTTTTAAGATAGGAGGTGCATCACTTCTAAAGCTGGGTTTTGGGGAAGGTGACGTAGTGGTCATGCCAGAGTCAGTGGTGATATTTGGGGACAAAGATGCACACTCACTTGTGGGTGGAGAAGGCCTTTGAGGAGATCTGTTAAGTGGAGTGAGGCTTGGAGAGTCATTATAACCTCCAATCATACTTGGGAGCGTTGGAGGCAGCTGAAGCCCAACAGAGGTGGGGACAGTGGGGAGTACAGGTTTGCTGTCCAGCCATGTTGTAACAGGTTTTTCTGGGGGCAAAGACATGCCATATGGAATGCCTGAGCTTGTTGGTACATTGTCCAGGTACTCTGGCACAGGGTAAGGATTCATTTGAATATGTGGGTATTTTTCCTTGTGCCTCTGGAAGTGGACTTTCAGATTCCCCTTGGTAGAAAAACGGTTCCCGCATATGTTGCATTTATAGGGCCTCTCTCCAGTGTGGGAACGCAGGTGAATCTGCAAAGCACTGTCACTGCCAAAGACCTTGGCACAGAATCGACACTTATGCTTAAAGAAGGGGTCTTCAGAGCTGGGCTTAGTGTCAAACACAGACACATTGGGGGGTTTTCCCTTGCGGTGCTTCATTAGAGCAGAAAGGGGATCAAGTGCATTGGCTGTGGCTGCTATGCTGGCCAGTGGATTGGGGAAGATGACGCTGCTCGAGGAGCTGTGAGGTATCAGTGGTAAACTGGAGGCAGAGCTCAGGAAACTGCTGTGATTTAGTGAGGGAGGGGTAGTGGAGTTTCTAGGAAGAGCTGAGCTGCTACTGATGCCACCACCTCCTGTTATGCTACTACTAGTGTTACTGTTGTTAGTCGAGACAGCAGATGAGCAGGAAGGGTGTAGAGATGACAATGCAGCACCACTCGGTGGAGGAAACACTGAGTTATTTGTGGATGTGTTTGGAACTGAAGAGGTGGACTGCTGAGTGCTACTCTGTGGTGTTTGAGAGATGGGCCCTTCTATTGCTGAGGTCAGAGGTGAAGGTCCTTGACCATTAAGAGTGGCTGGCAACCTGACAGGCAGTTGATGGACAGGGGGTGTGACAAAGTTATGCAGATGAAGCTGACTTGCAACAGGAGGGACACAGGAAGATGCAGACCCCAAGTTTCCAGCAGCACTGTTATGATGGTGACTGACAGCAGATTGTGGGGCAGACTGTCTGTTCATGAGGGCCACCTGACTTCGAATTTGTTCAATTAACTGTAGCTGATGAATCTGCTGCTGCTGGAGGGCCATAAGCTGGTCCAGGATCATGGGAATAGCCATGGTGGAAACCCCACTGCCTGCTGCTGCCCTTACACTCTGTGAAAACTGGGCAACTGCAACCCGAGTGCCATGCAGAGTCTCCAAGGTAACATTGGTGCTTGGCATAGCGTAGCTTGTAACAGCAGAGGGGACCACATCGTTGAGCTGAGGTAGAGAGCCATCTGGCTCAGGGGATGTCACGTCTCTGTCTTCGAGTTCTAGGGTTTTTTCAGGAGAAAGCTCCAGCTCCATCTGCTCATCCTCCTTTTCCAGGATATTGACCTCATTTAAGTTATCTGTCTCTGGGATGTCATCCCCCTCACCGACAGGACTCTGATTGCCCTCCCTGGCATCCTCGCTGTCATCTTGCTCACTGGGGCAGCTGAGAACAGGTGAGGGTTGTGAGGGGTACTCTTGGGAGGGGTTAGGTGTATCCTCATTGTCATTCACTATGAGCACCAGGGGGTTCTTGGTGCAGCTCTTTAAATGTTCACAGAAGTCTGACCACTTGAAGAACTCGGCACAGCACTTTTCACAAACATGAGTCTCTTCGCTGCCGCTGCGGCTCTCATTCCCACTGTCTGCATCATCCAGCACATCACCTCGGGCTGCATGGAGGGGAGAGGGTCAGGGGAGTGGACGACAGAAAAGGAGGGAGGAGGATAACAGAATAAATGAATAATTAATCACTAAAGAACCCACACATTTTTTGCAGTGAAGTGCAGCAAAGGTTTAACCTTTGATTTTTTTAACATAACAAAAATCAATATCTTTTTTATTTATTTTTTACTCTGAACAAATTACCCTAGTTCACCAATTCTCAAGACCCAGATTTGTGCATTCACATCCTCTCCATAGAGCCAGCTAATAATTTTCTTTGTGCAATCCATCAAATTATGAGGGCCTATCAATTGTGGATACTGCCGCCTAATGAAATTCCATAGAACCTATTGATTTCCAATATTTCATACAATTCACAGCTGCCTCATCTGTTGGGTACAAATAGGGACTTTGATGGCCCCATTAGGATTCCCCTCTGCTATCAAGCTCAGTCATTTCCACCTGAATGTTAAATGCTTAGGCCTTTTTTTAACTTCTAATGTTTTAACCCCTGAAAATTAAGAAACTATAATCACATTTAAAATCTGCACAACTGAGAGAAGCTGACTAAAAGAAGTTTTCATTTTTAACTCATACTGTTTCAAAATTGCTTTTGTTAAAAAAGAGGAAAAACAATCTTGTTTTGCTTTATTTCCATCCATCTTTTAAGCCTTTTTGACACAAGTCTACAAATTACATACTTGTTCCATGGCAGCAAAGTCTCTGATTAGTTACACATGTTTAATCACTGTTGCAGCAAGCCACTTCCTCTTCCACATGCAGTCTTCAAGACTCAAACAAACCAGCACATGATCTGACCATGAACCTTATTCACACCTGATCAAAATCATGGAAAAATTTCCTATCTTGTTGATTTCTATGTTTTTCTTTCTCTTTAGATAAAATAATAAAATGTGTGTGTCTCTGCGTACAAGTTTAAACCCCCCTCAGTACTAAAAGGAAGTACACGCAGTCACAATTATCCATGTTTGTGCAGAGTCGCATGTTCAGATCACATTCAAAAACAATAAAAATATGGTAATAAATTCACGACTTAAAAAGTTCTTTGTAAATTTTACATCAGAAAAATTATTTATGCACTCGTGAGCAACAGTAAAGCAGACATATAGAGGGACTTGTTAGTTACAGGGACTCAGTAGAGAAATTGATCACTCCTCCCTGTAGTCAGCGACCAAAGGGGAGGGGGGCATTGTGGTCTGCTGGTGTCTTTGACTTAATTAATTATAAACAGAATGATTTTGGGCAGACTTGGTCTTCTCACCTCGGCTGGCTGCAAAACCTGTTGGGGTAATGCATTATTTTACTTTAAAATCAAAAACCTCCAACTAAGCAACGGGGGGGGGGGCATCACATGAATAATTATTTTGGATAACGTTAAAACATATTCACTCTTTTGTTACATCTTTAAGATCATACTCTTGATTGAATGAGAATTGCAATAAAAATTGTGTTCGGCTTCAAACAGAAGACGAAAAGAAACCGAGGAGGGAAATGGAGCCAGAGATTGGTAATGTAAGTGACATGTGACAGTGAGCTAAAAAGCTCCTTAACCCAGTGGTGGACAGCAAAACACATTTCCATAATTGAGGGTTGAAAGGTCAACACAAATGAGTGGGCATTGTGTTGAGCTGATTAGTTATTAGAATGGTATTACTGTCAATCTCTTTTATTCATTCATACAATTACAAGTGGAGGCCTTTGTATGCCTCTGACCTCGCACACAAACACACACACACACAAACTTGTTTTTACATCCTTGTGGGGCCCGTCCACTGACTTCCATTCATTTTTTTGATAATTTTATATCCTAACCCTGACCACCTGACCCTAAAACTAACCTAAGCTCAATTCCCACTTTGGTCCTAAACCCAACCC